GTGTGTGTGTGTGTGTGTGTGTGTGTGTGTGTGTGTGTGTGCGCGCGCGCGCGCGCGACTGTACAGCTCAGAAGAAAAGCAAATAAAAAAATACAAAAGAAAAAAAACACCACTCGTCAGAGGACAAATAAAACAAATAATGCGCAAAGAATCAAACATGTACATAAATGCAAATTTTTATGCAAATTATACTCATAATACTTGGTTTACACGCTTTGGGTTCATATGTGTAATATAACAACTCTGCTCTCCGTTTCCCACCCCCCTCCTCACCTTCCAGTGAGTGGATCCCTTTCTCCCGTGATGTGTCGTAAACATTGTTGAAGTGATCACCGGCATTTGGGTCGGCACCAGCTTCAAGTAAGACTTTCACCACGCTGAAAAGCAACAAAACACAGAGGCACACGTTTAAAAACACGTCCGCACACCCAGAACCTTGTACTAAATAAACGCAGACATGCACACAGATGAGCTTTAACACCATAATATTTCAGTGTTCATGCGGTGGATGCCCGTTTTTCTTGGCTTGTTGTTGTCCGTATAATTATTTCCACATTAGGAGGATGACAAATTTTAAAATAGGTTTTCCTTTCTTTGGGAAGTCTCCCCCTCTCTCTCTCTTTCTCAAAGAGTAATAATGCGCCTTTGGGTTCAGATGTCTGATCAACACTTTCATAGATTTTATGGATTGTCTCTTTTTCATAGGAACATCTGGGACAATCAAAGCAAGTAGTGCCTAAATCAAGACAAAGACTAGGGGGTCAGTGATGTGTATAAAATTCATCTGTCAGAATGTGTGGTGGGTTTTTTTTTTTATTATTGTCACGTGTTTTAACTTTATATTTGGTACCAATAAAGGTTGAAGATGGAGCTGTCAGGAAGGAGGGAAAGAGGAGGTTTGTGGATGCAGTGAGGAAGACATGTAGAGGATGGTAGGTGTTGCACAAGAGAGCAAGGGACAGGGTGAGATGGAGGCAGATGATATCCTGTGACGACTCCTAAAGTGTGGAGGAAAAGAAGGAGAATAAGGAGGAGGCAGAGGAGGAGGACAAGGAGGTGGGAGAGGAAATGGAGGAAAAGAAGGCTGGGGAGTACAGGATGAGGAGAGGAAGCCAAAAGGAAGAGAAAAAGAAGGTGGGGGAGAAAAAAGGGAGAGGAAAAGCAGGCGGAAGTCGAGCAGGACACGGACAACGTACAAGGAGCCAGAGGAGATGAAGAAGGTGAAGGACAAAAAGGAGAAGAAGGCGGCAATATAGGAGGAGGAACCAAAAACCAAAAAGAAGGAAAAGGCAGAATTGGAACAGGAGGAGAGGAAAAAAAAGAAGGGAGGCAGAGGAGGAGAAGGTGGAGAAGAAGAAGTCAGCCAGTAGAGAAGGAGGTGAACGCGGCATTTAAGGAGGAAGTAGAAGAGAAAGAGGACAAAGATGAGGAAAAAGGAGGAGGAACAAGGCAAAGAACGGTCTGATACTCTCAGAGCTATTAAAGAGACAGTTACCTCTACATGAAGTGTGGGACGCCCTTCATCTCACTGTGTGTGATGTACTAGAATTAGATCTTTCTGTTTGCTAAAAACATGTGGAGATAAATCTGCATCAGCACATACAGACTCACAAGGTGGCATCACAGGACGAGCACACACACTGGATGTGAAACACACTTGTGACGTGCTCCATCCAAAAAGTGTGCAAGCGTTGCCTTGAAGCGGTATTTATTGCTTTGCAGCAGCTTGTATGTTTCCTCTTATTTGGTGGATGTCAAAGTGTTTCTGAATCGGCAGCGTCACGCATGTAACCAATGACATGTTAACAAGCCCGCACACATATCTTATCAGCTGCTGCAGTTGCAACACTTGCCACTGACCACAATATCTGTTAATTAAATGTTTTGTTACACATGAACAGAGCTCTGCTTCTGTCGCGTCACCAAATATAACCTTGACCTTTACACAAAGTTTCCTCACGGTTCATAAACAGATCACGCGCAAATATCCAATTCCTCGACTGCCTGTGACACTTTCGCCTGATTCACACCAGTCTATTCTGTCTCGTTATGGTGGATACACCCCACTAGTCACTTCCTTCTATCTCTCCTTCATTACACATTTGTCGGCCTCGTAACATGTACGTATGTGCACACTGAAGGGGGCAGGGGTCGGACCCCATTTCCGGCACCGTTGGGGGAGTGTAACCGAGTGGGTGTTCGTGTGTAGGCCTTCATTGGAGCGTACCGCCTTATAGAACAAACAGGAGTACCTCGGCAACACCACTCACTGTGACCCGTCAGATGTTTCAGGTCTCCCTGTCTGCAGGACACACTATTGCATAAACCCACACTTAGTCCACTGTGAAGGCAAGCAGTAGCTTTCACATTGAGACACAGATGAGCACAAATGTACACACAAAAACTAGCCAGCTAGTCGGTGAACACAGAGAGACAGAGAGAGAGGCGGTGGCCGAAACATGAACCCTGCTGGTACGCTGCTGATGCTTCTGCCATTAAACCTGTGACCACGTAATGTGGCCTGGGAGGGAGAGATGGATCGCTTACAGCTAAATGGTTGTGGCAGTGGCCTGAAAGGGCTTAAATAGAGTAAAATGACCATTCATAGGAGGATGAGGTGGAGCTGACTATGTAACAGGCTGAAGCCCTGTGCTCTTAAAATGAGACTGGACGAGTGAAACTAACTCTTATATAAGATCAGTTGAAATTAAATATCTTATTTATTTGTGGCATTATAAACAAAAGTACAGGTTTTTAAAAATATATATAATTTAGCAGAAATTTAGAAGCAGATATTGATTAAAATATAAAAGGCTGCATCTCTGACAACAGACTGAAGTACAGCACGAGTCACTATATTTATCTGACCAGCAGGCTTACTTAACCCACTATTAGATATAAGTAAGAGGAGCACATCATTTGAGAAGCAGAGGCATGCAAATATTCAGCATGGAATATAAACATTTACAAACCTTTTAGTTAAAAACATAAAGGTTGAAAGTCTATTTTCCATAATTACTTTTTGTGCATTGCTATGGGAGAGCGAGGCTGAGAACATTCTGGCCAGGTCTTTGTGTCTGACCTTGCTGAGGGGGGTATAAAGGACAATCGGAAGGGTTGGTGGTGGTGGTGGTGGTGGTGGTGGGGGTTGGATCCCCTATTGTTACTGTATCACTGTGGAGGGGTGGGGTATGACCCACAGAGGGTTTCCCCTTCACCCTTGCAAGCACTTCTACAAACACGTCGATGCTTCCTGTGAGACGCGTACAGAAACGCACAAACTCAAACTGAGGTTGGTCACACGAGGCTGGGCAGGACTGACTGAAGGAATGGGATGGTCTGAAAAGAGTTAATGGCATAAGAAAGGTAAACACGGAGAGATAAAAAAGGAGGAAAACTCCAAAGAAGAGGAGGAGAAAGGAGGAGGAGGACTGGATGAAAGGAGGGAGAGTAGCTAAAAAGATGAAAGAAAGGGAGATTTAATTACACAGGACTGTACTAAAACTAATGAGCTTTTAAAAACAGTTTATAGTTTTACTAATCAAGTGATGATCAAGTGACTAACTTTATTTGGGAGGAGAGTTGCAGCACTAATTTGAGGCCTAACTGAAGGCATCCAGAGGTGGTTAATTAAGATTAATTAGATTAAGCTCCCTTTTCAACAGAAATGGACAAAAAGTTACAGTTTACAGACTTTCTGATACAGTCCAATATGTACAGAAACAAAACTAATATCCACAATTATTACAGAATTATTTTAATTGTGTAATAATTGTGGATAAAACAAGAAAAATGTGTTATGCCCCCAAACCTTTCTGTATGACTGAGCCATCTGGTTATATCCTGATGTTTTATTGCTCGTGTTCTTCTCAAACAAATATAAAGGATTCATCCAGGTTATCTTTTTATTGTCCCCTTTACAGAGATCCTTGAGCTAATGACTACCTTTTTGCTCCTTAAGCAAACAGGGTGTCGGCATCTTGCTCGGACACTTGAAAATCCATTTATGGCATCATCTCCATGCTACACCATTTTTCTTTCCCATTACTCTCTGTGCAACACTCTAGAGCTGACAAATTTCTAACTGTAGCCTTGCTTCACCAGCAGGTGATCGGTGTCTCCGCAGAGGGATGGTGTTAGTTTCCAATCCGGCCCTGGAGGGAAGACAGGAAGCAGACACTTCCACCTCCGTTGTGCAATAAAAGACACCTGAGCCAAACTGACCATCCATGTCTGCGACCACCTGGCCCAGACATTGGACCTCACCTGACCTCACCTCACCCGGTGTCCACCTGGGGTCAGAAAGATGCTGGAAAGCGAGGTTCACTGTACCTCTAATTTTTTTCTTTCCTTTTTTAAATGTACCCGATTCTTTACGATATGATTATTTAGTCAGGGAATAGTGGACTCTAGAGGCTGGTATCTAAAGCATTTACCGAGACTTATTATTCACTTTAAAAACAACTTAAGTGTTATGTTTTCCACTTCAGGTTTAACCACTTAATCATTTCATAGAAGAAAAGGAGATGGCAATCTTCTTATTTACAGCTATTTTATTACCAAAACCCAAGAGAAGAACGTATGTACACATATTGAAAATAGTAACATGAAAATGTTATAGAGTATAGTATAGAGGAATATCCTAAAAACGTGCCATTAATTATATTTTAATACTATATTATATTATTTGCGAATACGGTCGTAATATAATGACAGCGTAAGGAGATCTTAATAACAAACCCCATATGTGTTATCTGAACCCGACTACCTACCATTACGATCATGATGGCCAAATGATTATATTTCATTAGGCCCTGCTGAGTCCAGCTAATCTTGGTCTCAAATCTATAATCCCACTTAAATGCCTTCTCTCCCCTGCCAGGTTATTCTCTCCCGTTCCTTCACCCCTGTTCTTCCCTTCGATTCCGTCGCCCTCCCTCCCATCGAGTCACTCGGCCGACAGGTCGGAACGGTCAACAGGCGTTATACTTGGCTGAGCGCTCATTGTGCACGTGAATGCCGTGAGGGAGGGATGGAGGGAGAGAAAGAGCGATGGAGATGGGCATTGTGTGTTAAAGAGTGCAAACAGAGAGCCAGGCCCTGCGCATCCCTGATTTAGCCCTACATCAAAGCTAAGCAAACACACGCCCCCTCCACAAATGTCTCACCCTTAATTCTTGCACACCCACACCCCCCTCTGCTCCACCCCTGATTCCCCTCACGCAGCCGCGCCTTGACCTGCCTGGTGGACACTACATCTAGAAACAGCTCCCACTGAAATGTCCTCTTGAAACACAATTATCACTTTTGGCCCAGGAAAATATAAACACAACTGTTTGAGAGAGACGGGCAGAATAATTCAACAGCGAGAGCCACGGTGACACTCTCGCTACGGGCTACACCGCGTTCGTGAGTGATGTTCCCTGTGTTTTCACTTAACGGCTGCAAATAAAGTTGTGTGTGGCTGAGTAATAGGCAGTTGGCCTGTAAGATATTTGGTATGAACTCCCTCGGTCTCCTCGCCCGTGTGTGCATGTGTGTGCGCACGTGTTTCTGCGAGTGGACGGTTGTGTGTTTGTGACTGATGTGTGTGAACTGATGTTCTGTCTTCCCTGCAGCAGTGACTGCTCACTGGGGGGCTGGAAGACGGGATTAAACACAGAGGAGTGTCACTGTCTGGCTGAGTTATAGCACTCATAACACACACACACACACACACACACACACACACACACACACACACACACACACACACACACACACGTAGCCAAAAAAAACACATGACACACACGCACAGACAGACACATATCATTAAAAATAAAAAGGTCCATGGATACGATCACTCGACATACACAACGTTAAAGTCGCAGCTGAAGGATCATGTGACCGTGTTCATCTCTGATCAGCTCCGAGTGATTCATCAAATTCTAATTTCAATTACCATTTTGGCTTCAAATGATTATAAAAAGAAGACAATCAGGATAAAACAATTATAGTGCCCTCGTTTTACTGCCAAATTACTTTTCTGTCGCTCTCGTGATCAATAAATTTCTTCAAGATTTATAAGCGAACATGCTAATATAATGCAAAAGGAAATCAATATAAAACTGAAAGTTGTAACCAATTACACGCGTGCAATTAAGCTTTGTGATCACAGATTTATTCGTTAAGTTTCAATTTGTTGCGACACAAGTTCAAACTTGGAGAAAAAAAAAAAGCAAGCAAGCAAGAACAGGACTGAAAGTAAGCTCATCTGAAAACATTTTAATATTCAGATTTCACATAAAGGGCCTTAAGAGTGAGAAGCATTAACAAAAAAGTGACCACACAGACCGGGTAAAGAGAGCGAGTGAGAAGGAAGAAAAAGGGCCTGTAAATTGGATTTGGCCCAGCCTCAACCTCGGCCCCTCTCTGTATTCTGTGTGTTCTGGGGGCCAGGAGGCTAATTTAATTTGTTGGACAGAGAAATGGGGGAACGGGTAAAGACCGTCTGTCAGTCTGAAAGCTGCACTTTGCACTTCTGATGACGTACTGTAACAACCAAAGCAGGGACGAGGATGGCATATGCTCGCACTAATGCGGCAGCTGCGCGATACCAAACCCGCTGCTGCATATGTAACGCCTCAGAAGTTTCAAAACACGACTTGTTCGGCGAAGCAGGCGCGCACAGACCTGTGCTGTCGATTCATAGCAGCCACCATGAGAGCGGTCCAGCCGAGACGGTGGCGATGATTCGGATCCACCCCCTCTTTTAACAGCCTGATGGGAACAAGAAGCAGAAAGTGGTTTTATTTTTACTTCAGTCTCACCGTTAACAGCCTGTAGCAGAAGCTCCATGTAGTACTGCAATCGATATTGTAGCATTTTCTTTCTTTCTCTCTCTAAAGCACGTACCATGCTGAAGGAACAGAAGTAAGATTAAGTAATGCACACCTAGGGGAAATTATGCAGATCAAAATGAAATCTACAAAACAAGAAATATGGGAGGCAAGCTGCTGCAAGCATAGTCTCTTTTTTTGGGGCACACCAGAATAAATCCAGCACATATCCTGCTTTTATCCAAAGCCTTCTGCACCACTTAATATATCTGCATGTTAAAGCCAGGTGTGTGTTGAGTTTTCTGCCCGAGGCTATAACATCAGGCAGTCCTTATAAGCGTATGTAAGGGATCCGGCTGTCGTCTCTGGTGCTGAGCAGACAGAGTCCCTGTTTACAGTCAACACAGCGGCTTCAGTCTGGTCTGCACTCAGCACTGATGCTCTCAGTCTCCGTTTTCACTGCCTGCTCTGCATGCACAATCAGGGTAAGCCGTAAGAGCTGCAGCTGAACTTTTCTTTCCCCATTTTAAATTCGGACAAACTGAGAAGCTCCTTTGACTTTGAAAAAATGCAAAGACTTTGATATGAGAATAATGACATGGCAAGAGTGGATGGAAAAAGCAGAGTGGTTTATTTGATATAAGTGATAAGCTACATGGGACTGGGTCTGTTCTTGAAAGTGTTTACTTTCAAGTATGATTTAAAGGGTTGTTGTTGTTTTTGTTACCAATTTAACAGGCAAATCTGAAGTCATACACTGAAACATTGCTGCCACATTCCTTGAATGCACACCTCACTGGAGTTTTGCCACCTAAAGTTAATTTCTTTCAGCTTCTGAGATTTTCTGCCGTTTTAGTTCTGTTACTGGAAGAAGGGTTGTGTGTCCGCTTCATACCAACCATCAGAGTCTGGTTCCCCCTATAGAGTCCAGGGTGTGGCGTGGTATTTGTCGTCACCAGTTTGTTAACAAACTACATTTTCCAAAGCACTTTGTATCGCTGGCTTTAAAAAACTAGTTTAAAAGTGAAAAATATTGTAACCATGTTTAACCACAATAGTCAAACTACAGCTGCACTGCATGCCACGCTGCGCTCTCTCTCTCTCTAATGTCCTACCCAACAAATGGCTGAACATGCCCTGACATCATTTATATTGAAACATAAAGAAAACATTAGCACCAAATATAAATATCAGTTTTCGATCGTCACACTGTTTTTGTTGTTGTTTTTAAAATAACACTACATGGTTGCCATATGGTGCCAACTAAGAATGCATGAATATATATCGGCTAAACATAACAACAAGCATTAAGCATTATTTTAAACACTGCTATCATGCCAAACGCTACCAAGTTCTTAACCATCCATTCTGTGAAAATGGACGCTCTTCATTTCCCTGCTGCCTCTCAGCTGACACACCCTGACACTCTACCACTTCTACAGAGTCGACCAAAGCACTTAACACATCTGTGACCTGCTAACTGGCTGTCTCGCTGCACTCTCACCTTCGCCATCTGCCACATGTGTACAGGTAACCCGAGCATGCAGATGGGGGCATGCATCGATACACACAGGTATGCATGCGCTCAAGTACATGGACCTGGAGACCAATACTCAACAACAGCCGAAACACATGAATTACTATGATTAACATAGGCACAATACAACGACACATCTATCTGAACAGCAACAGCCTCTAAAAGGTTAAAGACTAAGAATTTGATCTGAAGAAGAATAAATTCTCATAATAATGTTCAGGTTTATCTATCGCATACTCCTTTCTCTACCCCGTTAATGTAACACCATCGATGAGATGGATGAGAACGAGCCATTATAGAAGTCTGGCTCTAATACATGCACCTTCTTTTATGTAGCATACCCATTTCTGCCACCTAACCCTCTGTGTGCAGGACATTGCCA